GAAAGAGTTATGAACACAACACGTAACCTAACTCAGAAATTACTTCATCCTGAGCAGGGATGACATGGGCAACCTCCAACACGGAGAGTACTCGATTCCTGGACACGTTTCTGTGTGCTGACCCCGCATAAAAGCACAGCAGGCAGCAAAACAACACACGCACGTTCGTCTGCAAACTAAACCTGAGAGGTTTCATTTTTGGGTCACTGCCCGTAGTGGCTTCTATATTAATTTTCTCAAATTCTGGGGATTTTCCGAAAGACGAAGTTCCCTAAGAGCAAGCAGATACCCCAAATGACAGGTGATCTATGAATAAATTAGGCCCTCAGGAGCTATTAAGGAGCAGCTGACTTACGGGGCTCAAACGTATACAAGATGACTGTAAAATCCTAGAGACGGTAACGATTCAGGGGAAAGCAAGTTAGAAGTTTAGAAAGCAATTGACCCTTTCTTAGGCAGCTGAGGTCCAGATCACGCAGTATTTGGAGATATTACAGCTCTCTCCATGACACGATAAAGTGCAGCATCACTTATCATGCTACTTCTGCTTCAGATAAAACCATGGGACAACAGGATGGCCACAATTCCTGTCTGGCTTCTGGGTTGAGGTCCAGTCCACGACAAGGTGGGAGAACGAAATAGAGTGTGGTGTCTTTTTTTCTTTTCTCTTTTATTTTTCCAAAATAATTCTGTTATTCAAACATTAACTGATGAGAACGCACAAGAGGTCATGCAAAAGAAGAAGGCAGGTCTGAAATGCTGAAAAACAAACCAACAAAAGAAAACTGCGAAGAGATTTAACAACAAGGAGCCACAAAATAACGTGACCCTCAGGAAGGTGGGCGCAGGCAAGGCAACAGGGCGAGCATGCAGGCTGAAACGAGAGCAAAACGGAGGTCTTCGTGACAAGCAAAATGGGGCTTCAAACCAAAATGCCAGTGTGTCTGTGTGTGTGTGTCTGTGTGTGTGTGAGAAAGAGGAGGGAGAGAGGAACAGGGGGATAAAGAGGAGGGAGCAGAGAGAACAAGCAGGAAAACAAGCGTACATACGTGAGCTTGAAGGCTTTCAGGAAACAGCAAGGTCATAGGGATTTAATACTTGGAATGAGCATCAGCCTAGATTTAAAAAAAAAAATAAAGGCTGACAAGTATTAGTGACCTTTTGGGGAAAGCAGAATATTGAATAATGCACATGGATCGAATTTAATATCTGCAAATTCAGAGCCCAGTCCAGCTGCTGTAACACTGTTCCCAGGGGAGGCTTTCGACGTGCACGCACCTCCCTTCCAAGCTGTTTTGATGAGACTACCTGCAGGATTAGCACTAAAGGCACCATGTGAAACGCTGATGGACCAGTGCATACATTCAGATGGACTGAGGGACAAGGGAGGACAGAAGACAGACCAGTACATGCTGGGGACTCTCTGGTTACCCTTTGCATCAAAGGGCAGCCAGCAGTTCTGTGACTGGTGTTGGGAGGACGTGGGTGTGGGAAAAGTGTTGGTGATGTTTTACAGAGGGGCTGTGCCAAGCTGGCAGAAGAGTGGGGAAGGCTGGTAAGTTAATCTGAGCCACAAGTAGCATGCCATGAAAAAGAGCAAGCATCTGAATGGTACTGGAGTGGAATTTAGGTCTGAATTTGTCAAGTGGGAACTCCAGACAAGACTGGGAGTCTGGCTTTCCATGGGTGTGTTTTAACTGCCTGCAGGGTACACAGACCATTTTGTTTCTCCTTCTGTGACAAGCTCGCCCCGAGGTTCTTGCACCAGCACAAACACCTTTAGGAATCTAAAACATAAGAAAGACAAAAAGAAAGAGATTGGATTAGAAAGAGGCTGGGGAAAATGGGATACTGCCTGCAGGAGGTTAAAGGAAATACAGCACCCAAGCATCTACCAGGTTACAAGGGGTTAAGGAGGGCTCCTGAACTCAGCAGGTTGCCAGCACTCAAACAGTAATCATTCACCCTCAGCCCTTCCCTTCAGCTGGGGATGCATCACCCGGACACTGCTCTCCCCCTGGGAGGAGGACGTAAAATTCAGGAGCAGGACCCTGCCAGCACTTCCTTAGTGCAACAGAGAAAACAAACGGCTTTTTAATTTTCAACCTGCAAAGCAGTGCTGTATCTGTTCAAGGGACAGCTCCAGAGACCATGAGCGGTACTGAACAACAGGAAGCTAAAGCACAGGGACTTCTGCAGGCGAATCCAGACGAGCTACTCCTTTCCATCACAGGCTGCAAAGACCTTTCATTCTTAAGGGAAGCGCAGAAATAAACTGGTAAGCAAAAGCAGTCTTAGCCTCTAAGCCCATCCTTTGTCACATTCCCATACACACAGATTTCTGGCCAAGGGTTAAGTTTTCTCTGTGGCCAAGTGAAGCTACAATCCAGAAGCGTGATTTGGCCAAGACGACTGCTGTATCCAAGGGAATACAGGATGAGTCCAAACCTCCCTCGCGTTCGAGAGAGCAGGGGAACCTGCCGATCCTGTTTGCACCCACTTCCATAAAATAAAAAAAATTCCAAATGACAGCACGAAAAAGTTTCCACAGAGCCACAACAAAATATTTTTCCTGAAAAGGAATTGCGTTCATACTTAGTGTGGGAAGCAGGTGAAAAGCAGCTCTGGGCCGTTTGCTTTCCCTTAGTAAACTTAAATGAATTGCCATTAAAAAAAAAAAAAAAACTCACAGGAATGAGAAAATAGAACGTTTATTAGAAGAAGACACCATGGTACATCAAGCTATAGAGAGATTCCTGACAGGTGATGATTCTTTAAAAAATAAGAATAGAAAAGAAACAACTGCACTGGCCGGACTTAACAAACCTTGACACGAAAGAAAAGTTTCTCTGTGAGTCCAACCTGCAGGCAACTGAGTAACCAAAACGCTTATCAGCATAAGAGGGACTGAGTAACCACCAAAACAACAGCTAGGTTAAGCAGAAGAACAGCCTATAAAACCATTTATATTTATACATATATAAAAGGATAAAAACAATTCAAATTCAAGTAACTTTAGTTTTTAAGTTATGTTATATACAACTTTTTATATACTGGGAGAACTAAGGGCAAGTATTTAACAAAAGATTTTAAAAAGCCACAGTTCAGTTTATAATTACTGTTTCCTAAATAATTTGGCAAGCATTAAATAATCAGATATATCCTAGATAAAAAGTGCATCAGCATGGTTAACTTTTACTATTCATTTCTATAAGTCAAGGCTCTGCATGAAGGTTACAGCAAACAAACAGCAGAGCTGCAACACTGAGAATCACAGAGCTGTCTGTAAGGATTTATTTCTATAATTGGAGGTGAGGAGGAACAGACCCACAGCAGCAAAGGAGCTGAAATGCAAAATCAGCCCACGGCTCCAAAATTTTTTTATCAGGAAGTTTAACTTCACAGAACAGCCTCTATTACTTGCGTGTCACCCAAACCGCCAGCCTTTCTGGTGGGAGTGAACGTGGCATTTTTGTTGGGTTCATGTAAGCTGCTTATTTCATGCAAGTCCTTTTGAGTATCGCACTATTTTGCCACATCCCTCAGTGAAAGACAGCTTTGCTCCCAAGACGAGGATGAGGTACCATATTCAGTAACACAGTATGGTCAGTCTTGAGCAAAAAGGCCCAATTAGTTCCTGTATTTGACAGCTGTCAGCACCAGATACCTGACAGGGGACGAAACGCCCCCCGCAAGAAGCTACACCCCTGTGTGCACAGAGGGGTTTTCTTCCTCATCCCCAAGCAGTTAAAGGCTGGCATAAGCCCCAAAACGTGAGTTACATCCAATAGATCCAATTCGTAGTCTGCATGTTTTCTAGCATTTATAATAGTTTCCTGCATGCATCACAAAGAGAAGGAACTGTGTTGGCTCTCGTTTATATTAGGAAGGACGATGATGCTGTTTACAACTAAATTCATACAGTAGGGCCAGTACTTTCATTGGCAGTGATGCAAATTTAAATTTCAAGAGGTGAATTTATACATGCATCAGCTGAGTGAACGGTACCTAACAGAGTCTTTCATTGCTGGAGATATGACATGTGCATTCATCTCTTCTAAAGAAAACCTTCTGAAACAGCTCTTAAAACAACCGTAGCAGCAAACCAGTGGAATAAAAGGTGAACAGGCCTATGCAAACCTACTCAGAGATTTTCTGAAGTGATTTGTACACATCTGAAAAAAAAAAAAAGGCAAAACAAGATAGACATTACTGTTCTTTTTTTGGGATAGGGTTTGCTAACACCCTCTGACCAGAGGTACCACTGTAAACTTTACAAACAGCCCTCACACAGGTATTTGTGGGAGTACGCAGCCCTAGCTTGGCTCCCATGAAGACTACGATCAGGAGGGTGGCTGCAGCACACGACTTACCTGTCCTGTTCATCTCGGGTTCGGCAGCAGAGCCCTGACAACACAGGCTCCAGCTGACTGAAAAAAGCTCACCAGCTGCCGAGCAGCTTTTCACAAGGCATTTAGCAGTTGCATTTCTCAGCAGAGCGGCCTCCGGCTCACGGCACCGGCACAACCTGGTCAGGCAGGTACGCCCGAGCCAGAGCTGAGTCTGCTGCCTAGAAGAGTCACAAATGTCCCCAGAGCTGGTGCGAATGCTCCCACCCTCCATGCGACAAGCAGTTAAGAGGTACCAGCTGCTCAAACTTCCTTCCAAAAAGAGCAAAGAACTACTGAAGTTTGTATATGCTTTAGTATTTACAGGGTCATTTTCAGGAATGTTGCAGCTTCTGTTTCAAGGATTGAATAAAGTCACTTCTAATATACTAAAAATCAAATGAAAATATTGCAGCTTGCAACTAAGTTTGTCTTTTAAACACAGTAGCACTTCCCCCAAATCTTTATACTGCTACTGTGGCATTTTATGGAAGTTCTATTTTAGCTTTTCTTTTTAACCAGAGAAATGAGAAACAAAAGAGGTAAATATTATAGTTCCTTTACATTAGATATTCACAGACACATTTGATTCTGTTCCTGAAGTCCAGCAAAATTAATGGAAAAAACTTTAAAGGATCTGAAAAGCCTCCATCGTTGCTATAGAAGTGGCTGCAGCTCTATCAGCCTACTCTCCCAGCACAGACTGCGTTTTTACCGTCATTCAGCATCACCCTATAACTTACATAGCACCATTAACATACTAACACGATTTTCTGGCCGGTGTTGCTGTACTCCTGCAATATTCTCTCCAGAAGGGTAAATTAAAGACTTTTGCTACTTCAGTCAGCAGGACTGTCTCAGGATTCTCACCCCTCCCAGGGACATGCTTTGCTTCGCTTCCCATCCAACCTGCTGCTCTGCTCGTAAATAGGTGATTTGCTGTAACGTTCCACTGATGTGAACCACGCTGCGTATCTGAGGGCAGGCGAGCCGTGCTTGTTACTTCAGACAGATTTAGATCCCACACTAGCGTGGCTGTTTCAAGCAGCCTACACTGCTGAACAACAAATTTTCCAGCAGAATAATAATGTTGCTTTCAACTACTGCCACACACAAAGCAGTCAATCTCCATAGGAGAGAACACAGGGGTAAGAGATGGGATCTCCCACTCTGTGCTTTCTTGCCTTGTTCTGAATATGATGAAGGAGAATGTACAATCCACGCTCCTCTGCCAAAGGTTGATAAAAGCCGACAGAGGAGCTGAGCTTTTTGCACTCTTTTGCATCTCAACTGACCATGTATTTGCCAACACAAACATAAAACTACCGTATTGTGGCAAAATAAAACAGGACCCTAGACTTCCATCTGCAGCAGACAAGGCACTGCACTGTTTAATACTGAATCCAAGACAGTGAACTGATCAAGTTATAGTGTTTGTTTACAGAGACAGTCCCACTCCTCTCTTCTACTGTCTGTAAATCCCAATGAGAATGGCTCTGTTTTCTTTTACATCGGATGAGGCAGCTTGTTTCACACCAAGAGCTCTAAAGTCTAGGAAAGACAACAATATCTGAAGGATTAAGTGACTGAAAAAACCCACAGAAGTTATTTAACAGTGGACTTCAAACACATCCTGATTTCAAACAGGACTAAAATGTTTTGACTTCTTGGTGCATTACATTACCAGGTGTTCGTGGTGCTAGCATATATTCTACCCAGGATTCCCCTGCAGCACTGCTTGCTTACAAAACACACCTATTTGTGAGGGGTTAAAAGCAACAACAAAACAGAAGATCGCCAAGTGTAAGCTCTGAATGTCTCCATTGATCTCGTGGGAGCAAAAGATTAAACCATTAGTTATGGTCATCTGAAACATCTTCTTCAAATACATCTTCTGAAATGTATCATGGTGGGAAAGAATAGAGGAACTTTCTTAATGTTTTACCAATTTATCAAGGACCACAGAGTACTGTGTAGATAGGTTTTGGCAAGATCTCGCCTTCCCTTTCCAAACACACTAAATGACGACCAGGTTTCAATCCAAAAGGTCCACAGAACACATTGGGCTCTGACACACTACCACACTGAGACACCAAACAGCAGCCTGAATATTTCCTATGTAACATTCCACTGGATCAGTTTGGGACAAACAGCTGACTTGTGAATGTGTCTGAGATGCCACCTGGTATCTGAGGGAGCCCGTGTTATTCCAGAGGGCTTTGTGTTTCCTGCACTAAGCCGGGCATGCAACGGCAGTGACAGTTGAACAAGCACTGTCTAGGAAAGGCTGCATCTCCCCTCTAGCTTTATGGTCTACCATGCCATCGTTCTCTGATCAATGAAAAGCATGTTTTGCAGTACAGCAAGCCATATTAGTCCATGTACAAAGTAATGCACCTTGTGGCATTGTACAGGCTTTTAAAAGGCTCTATCTGCAACACAGAGCAGTTTCAGAGTTGGGTATCTCTGTGAAAGCAAATAAAGTAATAATAATAAGAAGTAGTATTAAATATAAGTCATAGCACCTTTGGCATTTTTGTCCAAATAGACTTCAACATAAGACGTAGGGACATAGCCCTCCTCATCTTCATTCCTTCGGATTCGTGTCCACCCATCACCTTTGTCTTCTTCTATTACATAGAGCATTTCTCCTTCTGCTACAGAAATTGTTCCTTCATTCTGACCTGAAAGACACAGTAACACAGAGTTTAGGCTGTCCTGCACAACAGGAACCCCAGATGCCGTGGGGGTGCTCAGGGCACACTTGGATAGTGTGCTGACGCAACCTCCGTTGCATCACTAGCAGCATGAACAAGAACATGTGATTCTGGAGACCACAGTGTACATGAAGAACCAGATGAATGTGATCCTGACATCAGTTTGGGTTTTTTTTTTTCTTGCAGAGTCCATGCATCCATGCATAAAGGGAGACAAATCACTGTCTTAGTGCCTCTCTAAGAAACAGAATCATGCCAGAGCCTCACTCGCCCTTTCTTTGCCTATTTAAGCACTGCAGGAGCTGTTAAATGAAGGTTTCCCACTTGTCCTTGGCATATGAACTAAACAAAGCAGTAAGTGAAATGAGAGTAAAGGTCAAGTGATACCTTCAAATGTATAGAGCGCTTTACATGTTCCTATGGTGGGTAGTGGTTCTTCATCATCAAATTCATCGTCAAAATCCGTTGCTGGTACTTTCATCTCAGTCTCCTGACTTTGCTCTTCTGTGTAACTGCCATCTGGGCTGCTCAAGAGAGGAAAATACACAGCAACTATAGCGACCAGTCTCAGGAGCAAAGAGAATGGCTTGGTTACCAGACGCTTAAGGCAAGGTGAGCTGGAGCAGCTCAGCAATTCCAAAGCATGCTCAGAACTGGCTGTTACGAAAGCAGCTGTCACAAAGCAATGGGCAAAACTAGTCATTTTTCCCATCAAAAGCTGAAAAAGTGCACCTATCTCACTCACCTTCACAGCAGCGAGTGGAGGGGGCTATCATACATTTCTGAATATGATGAACGGTAGCTCAAAGTTGGGATGTGAAACACTTTATGCAGTGCCTGCTTTTAGTCTGGTTACAGAACGAGTTTCTGAATGCTGCAGAGCTACAGTTTTCCTGATGAACAAGCTAAGGAAAGCAGGTTCAATTACCGGTCTGCACAGGACAGCTCTGTACAGATACTGTACCTCTCCCGGTCCTGCGCACAGCTGTTCACTGCTGAGGTGTTCTGGGCTTCATACAGTCCGCTCTGCCGCCGGGCCTGCTCAGTCCGCATGGGTAACCTGCCCTCCACCTCGGCCAGCCAGCCCTGCAGGAGGAAAGCAGCCTCATGCACCTCTCATGCTTCGACTTGCAAAGGGACATCCATTGCTTTTACTTTGCTGTGTCATATTTGACATTCAGACTATGGAACTAAAACCAGATTGTAAACATATTTAGGTTTTCCTTTGGGTTGCAGTTGTCAGGAGGAACAGGTTCTGTACTTTAAGTGCGTATTAAATCTATTGGTCTTGCCAAAAAACATGCTTACTGAAAACTTGATTCTTTTTTGACACTGGGTGCTGAAAACATCGTGACCCGAGGGAAGCAGTTAACAGCAGCTGCTGGGAGATGCTGCTGCTCTAAGTCACAATAAAGTAGAGAGACGTGTGGCAGCTTATGGTAGTCTCACTAACACCAGAAACACAGAAATCTCGGTGACTGCTGAATGCAAGAGGAATAAAGCTGGGGAGAATGAGAGACCCAGTGATTTTCAAATGGATAAGAACGCAATGGATAGTAAAGCCAACAAGTGTAAGGAACATCTAAAATTAATGGGCTGTATCTATTTATGTACATAGTGTAACTTACAGAGTGAAGTCTTTTCTCAGCCCTATAATCCTTCTCGTGTAATTATAATGGCTTCATATATTCCAAGTACTCCTTAAGCTCTTGAGATTTTGTATCTTTGAGAAACTTCCTGTTAATGGCAGACTGTTCCTTACAACATGTTTTATCTGAAGGCTTCTGTCTTGCTGTTAGACTATAAATGATGCTTTACATTTATGTTCCTCTGATTTTCCAGACACATCTGTAACACGATGCTATAAATTATTTTATTAAATAAGCATCTGAACCCCTCTGGGCAGTGCAGAGCGCCCTACATTTTCTCTTATCTTCCACTTAGCACAATGTGTTTTCTGTGGCAAATTAGACAGCAGGATTGTTGGCTGACTGTCACAAGAAATGGTGCATATTTATGTTACGCAAACAGACTCAAAGATCTCAATTAATGCAAGTGCTTAAGCAGCACCTACCCCATACACGGTAAGAAAATGCATCAATACATCTGGAAAAGCAGTGAAGCATTTGCTCAGAACTCAGCCTATGCTGAGCTAGGTTTTACTGAAATGTCTTTTCCCATACCTCAAATTTCTGAACTTCTAATCGTAACTTTTCAATGTTCTGTCCAAGTTCTGCTAATCTGTGGTCCACACTCGCTGCATCTCCCATCTGTGGGTTCTTGATATACACATCTTTCATTTTCGTTAAGGCATCTCTGACAGACAGAAGAAAAATAAAACATGTAAGTGTTATGTGGCTGGGGGCAAACGCCTTTCTCTAAATGAGGGCAAATGAAAGGATAATAAACTGCTGCCTCTTTACCCCGTGGTTCAAGCCTAAGCCGTTACAAAGGTAACCGAGAACATCCAGACAGGGGGTTTTGCCTTGCACAGAACCAGCTGTTAAAAAATAACAGTAAAATCACTTGCCAGAAGAGAACTTACAGTCAGAGGTGGGGTAAAGTGAGAGACGCCTTTACCTACAACGCGACGTGACAGAGACATCGTACACAAGCCAAACGCTTCAAGGCCCTGCATTAAAAGCAGCTCCTCACTCCATAAGCAGCTGAGGGTTCTTCATGTGAGTGGGGCTGGCAGGAGATGTGCTGTGCCGGGACCAGCCCACAACACATTTTGACCAAATTATCCAAGCTTCATGTGCTCTGTTTGAAGAATCTTAGCAGAAAAATGACTGAATTCTTGGACAGTGGCCTTTTGCAAGGCAAAAGGAGGAATTTGGTATTGACTTTTAGCCTGACATGTTGTTTTATTTAGTACTATGATTTCTACTTGCTAAGCCTGGGGAAAAAAATTTTTAAAAATCTTGCAACCTTTGCACGACTGACAGCTTCAACTTTCTAGATGAATATCATCCCAGTTTTTGGAGCACAAACAGTTGCATCATTATTCTCCATCATGGGCTGAAATCCAGTTGAGAAACTGGGACAAAGAGCTGGATGTGAACGTATTAGTAATAAAAATGGAGTGCTAACCAGAAATTCTCACCCTGCCTGTTGCAGTTTGTCTTTTGCAACCCAAATCATTTGTAAAATATTTCACACTGCTTAAAACGAAGCTCAATCCAGATGGTTTGCATTTGTCACAGCGCAGCGACAGATGGACCTTAGGCCACATAATGCGACCCTGCATCCTGTTAACATCCATGCTATACGGCATTTTTACTAGACTCTTTCTGGGGGCTGTTTTTCATATCAACCCAGATGCCAAACGCCCAGGGTTTCAGAGATGTTAATTTTAAGGCCTGCTATGATGAATGTGGTACCGTAAGGCCAAGATTAACGTAGTACATGCTTTCATGAACTCCCCTAGGAAAGCCTGCAGAGCTCTTGCTGACAGCAATGTGCTGCCTTTGACCTCAGTCAAGTTGAGGCTGAACTTAAAAAAAAAAGTTATCTGCATGCTGATGAACATTTCAGAGCTCAGAGAAGGGCTGACTTATGAGCTGATTTCCTGTATTACTCGCACAGCTATTCAGATTTTCTCTAGGCATTAGCTGGGGGATGAAAGGTTAATGCGAGTCCCACGACTCAAGTTAACACTCTCTATATTTCAGAGTTTCCCACCAAACTCTTGACAATTGCAATCCTGTGCCTGCCTTTGCTTTTTGTGTATCGAAAATGGGAAAAAGTGTGGGTGGCAAGGAAGTGGGACGGCTCTGTGGTTGAAGCCCTAAGGGACAATATTGCAAACATATGAGTCATGATTATTACTATTTTTTAAACTTATTTAACTGCTGGTGCTACCTCCTCAATCATATATTATCTTTATTTAAAATAACCTCATTCTGCTCTGATTTAATATCCAACTTTAATGTTGGGTTACCTCAGAATCAATACAGAGCAGAAAGGAAAATCTGTGCACAGACAAATGTAAGTTACCACAGAGGAAAAAACCAAAGCAATGAGAAATCATATAATCACGTGCAGTTTTCCTTTCTTGTTCATGATACAAAACATAAAAGAAGAAAGCTTGGGTTACTAGACCAAATAAACAGGTTCTTCAAAGCAAATTAACAGAAAATGTAGGCACATGTGTACAAATGCAAAGCAGTATTTAGGGACAGACTAGTACTGGAGGGGCTAAGTCTTGACATCATTCAGGGAAGAAAAGTTCTGTCTCTTGTAAACATAACATGCTCGATCTTTAATGCAACAGCAGAATGTGAACACACACAAAGCAACAAGTACAGGCTGCCAGAATCAATAAAAAACGTGTAACTAAAATAGCTTTATTCTCAACCAGAATGATAAATGAAGCCTTGTAGAAAAAGCATCCACAAAAGCACAGGAGTCATTATCCTGCTTCCAGGAAATGTAAGCTACAAATCAGAGTCCTGAGATACACACTAATCAATCAGCACTTTTGAAAATTTTCTCATGCTCCTAATGGCCTCTCTCGCTGGGATCTACCCATGCCCATCATACAGTAATAGGTGCTCTGCTTAGTCCCGAGAGGTCTATGATTGTACCTTTGACTGAGGCTGTATTTACATCCTGTAGTTTCCTAAAAACACCCTCAGGAATGGCTCACATCAAGAAATAAGCTTAGTGCATCTAACGGCAATCTTTGGCTCATGATTAGACTGCTGCTCTCCTGTGAAAGCCCAAGAAAGAAGGAAAAATTGTCTCTAGTTGCTTCATTTATATACTTCTCATCCTTAGGATCTTCTCACCTCATGATTCCCAAGACAGGACATGCGTTACACTGAAGTGGGAGAATGGAATAAAGAGAAAGCCAGTTTTTGCCCCAGCTCTGACCTACATCAGCCAAAATTAAATAACTGATTTCAGAATCCAAGCTGTGCAGAGCCTTGCATCACTCAGGTGTTTTTAGCCATATGTACCCTCTGGTTCTTTTTTTCTTGGAACAGTATCTTAAACAAACCTGGATCCTTGTCCTTATTTGTCTTATATATTACTTGTTTCTGTTCTCCTGTAAGACCACCTATTTAATTTTTCATCGGAGGGGGTTGACATACCTTTGATCCATCTCCTTCTGTATGTCTTTGTTTAGTTCATCAACTTTCTGCTGCAGTTTCTTTCTTCTTTGCTCGGGTGGTAGATTGCTGAAGTCCTCTGGCCCTGCTCCCTGCGCAGAGTGGAATGGAAGAAAAAAGAAGAAAAGTCAGAGCCTGAAAGAATCCTTCAAGATTGCATTTTGAAAACAGCTCACAAAAGTCTGTGCAAAATTACAGTGGTCTGAAGCATTGTTATTATTTGTACTGAGAGTTATCTGTTAGCAATCTGGATGCCCTAGAAATAATCTCAGGACCACATCCCACTTCCACGGCTAATGGGAGTTCACCAACTAAAGAATGCCAGAACTCAATGCAAAGCCGAGAACCTATTTTTACGCATAGTTATCATCAAATTTTATTTAACAGAGTTCCACTCTCATGCTGATCCTTCCTGCCTTCCCTTACTCCACTACAAAGAGCATCCCCGTAACAGCAGTTGCTCACTTTTACTCCTGTGTCACAGCCGCGCTTCTCATGTACACTATTAATTGCTGGCTGGGTCTGCATAGTCTGAGTGTTGGCCCAATACAGTGAATTTATGTCAGGGCTCTCCTGAATGCATTAAGGCAACAGAAGCGCTTCCTCTGGCGTTCTGCAATTTAAATCCATGCTGCATACTTCCCAGGATCCACATTCCATGTCAAAGTCTCTCGGTTTTTCCCCTCTCGCTTGTTCTAGCATAAAAATTGGGAGTTGTATCAAAGCCACAGACCCAGTCAATCTGAAATCGTAACTGAAGAAAACATTTGAAGACCACAGTGGTTACCTTTGTGCGATTCTGCTTGAAAACCCCTTTTCTGCCTTCAAACTGCTATGCTTCTTCTTGATTGCCTCAATTTAATACAGCAAATAGATGACACAAAATACATCCATAGTATTTTCTTCAAAGTACCACCTATTTTTGTCTTGCAGGAGGGCAAGGGGGACAGTTCAGGTGGGTTTTACTGACCACACATCAACACTAATTAGTTGCACCTTAAAAGAATGAGATTCTTGCACATTATCTTGAATATGTACAGGGTTTTTGTTTTGTTTTGGTTTGGTTTCTGCTCATTCCACGTCTCATTTCTAAGGGGGAATACCAACCTATGGAAGAAAGAAGGGTAAAAACACAGAGCCGAGTAACCAAATTCAATGGCCCAGCAGCTTACTGAAAGCTCGTGAGCAGAGTTGCAACATTAGTCTTATTAAAATGCCAAATCTCTCTCTCAGAGGAGTGTGATTTAGTGGAAACTGCCACAAAAGCTGCCCATTAGACCCTTTCAACTCGGCACTGAATGTGCTCCAAGACAGCGCACTCTTTCTTCTGCATTTGCAGAACAAGCTGTTTAGAATGAAAGTGTGTGGGTGTCAGAGGGACGGAGGAGAACTACAGACAGGTCATCTTCTCTGGGCTAGCCATTTCAAAATAGAACTGGCAAACCTAATGAAATTGCTGCCATACTGATTTCCAGTAAAAGGCGGCATATGTGTCTAGTTAAGCCTTGACCATCTGGGTAATAACACACTTAAACTTCCATTTCATGAGACAATGAGAAAGCAAATTTAAGACAAATGGAGGAAACAACCAAGTAAGTTACACACATTCTGAAACTTCAACCACATGACATCTTAGCAATGCTGTGCGTGTACAGGAGAGATCTGTTTTAATTCATTCTTTAATGATGATAGTATCTTGCTTGATAGGAACTCCCACATCAGGTTAGACATGAGAGTGATTCAATATATTTTGTATTTTATGGGTAATCACACACTAAAGCCATACATCTCTTTTTAAGGCTAAGCATCTCAATGTAGCTTTGTAAATAAACAAGTCATTACAGGAAAGTCTATATAACATATTCTTCTCAATTCTAAGCAGAAGAGACAGATATGCTTGAAAATATCCCCAGTTATACATTAGGAGAATGCAATAGATTTAGTCAAACAAATTCAGTAAAGCATCTTCTTTTTGATTCTTCACCTTCATTCAAAAGCTCTAGCCTGGACTAAATTCAGTATCTTTGTTCACAATGCTTCAGACCAAAGCATTAGTGTTGCATATAAATGCATGCCTGAGACTAGGAGGTGATCTCACTCAGACTTTATTCCATGCTCAGTAATTTCCCAACATAACAGAAGCTACAGTTCCTTTTCCAGAAGGAAGAGTCAAGGAGCAATTCTTGGCACATGCTGGGCACTTTTCATGCTCTGAAGCAAAACCACACCTGGGCGCTCTCTCTTGCCTACGTTTTCAGAGATGCTTCAATGGTGAGTTGGGGGGAAGTCTGTGCTACTTTTGATGTGTTATCATAGGATCAGCAGAGACAGGGCTCACTAGATTTCCTTGCATAAAGATACTGGGATTTAGGACACAAATTGTCCCAAGACTGTGAAAAACAAGGCTGTGTTATGAGCAGTTTCTGGGCTGAAGCTACATATGGGGAGAGCGCAAGGTTGATCAGCCCCAGTTGCGGCTCTTGCACAGCTAGGATCCTAGAGAAAATTACAAATAAGCCGATTCCCTCTGCCTGAGGCGCACATGGGTCTCAGCACTCTGCACATCTTTTTGATTTGTGCAAATCTTAGGGAAAGGCCAGGTCAGCCATTTATTTGGGGAGGATTTATTCCTACATACAAAGGCTTAGCTCAGCTACACAACATACTAGCACTGTGACTGGGAAAACAACAAATGGAAATCCCTGGTATTAATGCACTGGGCTACCAGAAATGCATTGGGCTACCAGCCAAGGTTTGCAAGTAAGCTAGAGATTTCCATCATTCCTCGGGACCACCACAGGTCTCCAGTGAGAAGCAATACTGCTAAGGGAGCCCAAGCAAGTCACTGCATTGACAAAGCAACAGCAGGACCTAAAACCTCCAAAGCTACAGCAGGCAGCTTTCATGGCCTGTGCATTTCCTCCAAATGCGCTGCTATGGACAGGTCCACAATGATATATCCAAGAACAATATATGTGTAGGGGGGAGAGAGCACCTAAAGGCACTGACTGGTGAGGGATAGGAAAACTTCAGGCTGATGCCATTAAGGTGCTAGTGCAGATCCTCTGAAGCCCTCTGAAATGGCAGTCGGTCATCTGCAGCTCTGGCATGCTGGTATGAAGTGGGTCAGCAAACCAGTTGCACTCCCCTTGTGACTGGGCTCACAAAGGGCAAAGGAATGTAAACAAGCTGTTAGGAACGTATCAAGGTGTGGAGTATCTCAAGTAGTACGGTACCTTGTGTATAAGTTCAGCACGTAATTTGCTTTCCCAAATACGTTCACCCCTTCCCTTTCCAACTCAGTAACATATTGTCTTACCGTAGTTCAAGAAACCTTCCCAGGTGCATCCAAGACAGAATTTAGGATTCATACACATATCTCCATTTGCAAATTCAAATCAGACTGAGTTAACCTTGTTGGTTAAGGTTTACAGAACTTTAATTAATATCATTATTAGTTATTCTGAAGGACTACATAGGGCTGTAAAATGTAGGTGATAACGATGCACATTTCCAGTAATACCTGGGCATGGAAAGCAAAAACTTTGCAGCTATGTTACACAAAAGACATGCAGTTCTCTCTGGAAAAGGTCCAGCAAGCATGGAGACCTTTATTTTTTTTCTTTAAATGTTTTAATGCATACTTAGAGAGTAGCAGAATTACTTCATACTGTTTTTCTACATTTTCGTAGCCCTAGATTATAAAAGTGAAAACTAAACTATATATTAGAGTTAATTTTTTAGCAGCTTATTAGAAAGACTGAATTCTGATCACCTCTATTAGACTCCAGACCTGTGTATTCAGAGTTATCTGATAAATATCAAAAAAAGGCAAACACAAAGAAGAAACAAATTTAACAGTTAATTTCAGTGTCATGTCACATGTGGCACAGTGCACATTAAAACACACACAGAAAATTGTGATTAGAACACAGGACAGGCATGCTGTAAATGTGCTTACCAGCTTGAGAGAAAGCTTCATGTAAAAATTGGAGAGATATAGGGTGGGGGGAGAAAGAGAAAAAACAACAGTGCATCAGTAGAAGAGGAACTTTTTCAGACTGAGTTACAATAAAATGACACATAATCCCCTTGCTGTTGGAAGGCAAAATGGGTAACACTAACAGATCTTTGCGAAAGTTCACAAGATGGGCCAGCGTTATCGGCCAGCTGCCGGTCCCTCGCCAGAGACAGAAACGGGGAGCGCTGTACCTCTACGCACACGCTCTAGCACTGCAGGTGAGGACCTGACCTGGATTTGCCTCCTTTACAGCGGCTACAACTGAGATTTTTTTGCATTACGGTAACACCTCTGAAGTGGAAAAAATACCTCAGAGCTTGCAAATGCAAAGTCACTTTGGATCAAAAATGTGCTGAAACGCAGTCACGAGCATCAGCCCCTTTAGGCAAGGGCTTAAGAGAAGGGGGATAAGACCCAGCCAAATCTCAGTGAAGAGGAAGGGTACTGCGCTTGGCCTCCAGCTGCAGAAAGCATGATGGGACCTCCAGCGATCTCCAGTGATTTCCTGGCTCCCAGGCCTATGTCCAAAGGACAACATCCCTGAAATATCCCTGTTGATTGCGTACAGCGCTGTCCAGGCAGTCACGTAAAGTAATTTCATTTTCTCAAACAATTCAAAACTTGGTCTCAAACGTACTTTGGCCATAGAGTCAGGCAAGGTCAAGACCAAGAAGGAGGAGAAAAAAAAAAAATCCTCTTTACACTAAATTGATTCTATGACAGCATAGTAAGACATTATTCAAGCTCCTTCAATGATATATGTGACCTAATTCTTCAAAGGTTACCACATTTCCTGGTACAGAGCCAAAACATTATCTTTTAGTTACTCTGGGAAAGTAGGAGACTAAAGCATGCTTGAAGGGCCTACCCAGCAGCATGGTTTGCCTTTGCCTGGCATCATACAGCTCGCAACAGTGCTGCAGGGCCTCAGAAACTGCCAGGTGAACAAATCTGCCCAGGCAGCCGACCACCAAAATTACCAAAGCCTCTTCCAATGTTGCAAGACATTATGACGGCTGCAATTCAGGAGGTTTTCCAAGAGATAGGGAGCTCTACAGCCCTACAGTGCCT